AAAGCCATCGCCAAATTCACTTTCTCCCTTCGTTCTCTCTGAGTAACGTGTATCAGGTTCATTTTCTTTTTCTTTCCGTGTTTTTCTACATTTTGGCCTTGCATTGATGATTCATGGTGTGATCATCGATTTTTTTTTTTTTTTTTTTTTTTTTTCTTCTTTGGATTCGATTTTGGCTTTGGTACTTCTCTAAGCCATCCCAAATTCACTTTCTCTCCTTCGCTTCTCTCTATAGTGATCATCATTTTTCTTTTTCTTTTCCTTTTTTCTACATTTTGGGCCTTGCATTGATGATCATGGTGATCATCATGATCATATCTCCTTCTTGTTCTCTTGTGTGTAGTGCCATGTAGCTTTAATCCTAACCCCACAAAATATATATATATATATATATATAAAAAGTGAATATCATAATATGGTTTGAGAATAGGTTAATAAATGAAAATTTTGATACGGTTCGAATCTAAATTCAGTATACGAACGAGTCTTACTTATAACTTTAAAAAAAATTATTCACGTTTATATTTGAAATTGAGATACTTGTCTTGATCGATTAAAGTTAAAAAATTATTCATTTCAAACAATGGTGTAGAAGACTAGAAATTAGAGGGAGATGTGAGGTGAAATTTACACGATTTAAGTGGGAAGCTGGTGGTATAAAATCCGAAAGCAAGAAGAGGTTTGGAGGAGAAGTTCCAATCCTTTTGATTTTGACACTAGCCAAACATGACTTAAGGTTGGCCCCTTCTCGTTATTACTCTGGGCAAGCAAGGGCCCATTCCGCTGCCGCTTATAGAAAAAGGTTTTCTGCGGCTTACTGCCACCTTCTTCTTCTCCGTCCCAAAGGGAAATTGGAATTGTACTGAAACTAGTTGAAATTTAATACATAGAAAATTTTTTAAGATAAAAATCCATTATTAGAATTAATCATTTTGGCTTTTAACTTATTTTTCAGGTTCAGTGAAAATAAAATCGAAATAGAAAAAAATTTTAATTTTATATGTTGAAACCAAAAGAGATGAGTCTCATCATTTTTGTAATTTCTTGTGGTTAATTAATGATTAGATACATTTATTTTTGACATTTTATCTTTTCTGTTTCACACAAGTGAGTTTTAACTTTTAACTAAGTTTTTTTACTTTTCACATCATTCTCTCTCTCTCTCTCTTTCTCTATATAAATATATATCATTCCAATCATTCTTTAGCATCACTTTGCTTTTATGCAAAAAGGGATACAGTACACATTTTAAATTAGTGTCGTAATTTACTTTAATTGATCTTATTAATTATGACAAATCATTAATTAATTGAAGCCAAGAGCTTTCTAAGGTAATTAAGCCAAACAAATCCAAGTTTTTCAGCGTCCCGACAAACCAAAAACAAAAAGCAGTATCAATGATTAATTGGAAATTTGGTTCCAATAATTCAATTTTAAGAAATCAAAGAATAGAAGGGTTAAAAAAGGAACAGGAAGAGGAAGTAACTGTTCAATGTTTATCAGAATCTCACCAAATTTGCTTGGGTCATTGATACTAAATTTACAAGTGTGCAGAGCAGAGGAAAAAAGGGTTAGAAATCTAAAATGAAAAAATGGGTGGTACGAAAAGAACCAGTAATCTATCTATCTTGATGTCACAGACAGTGGTCCATAGTTGTATTTTACTGTACATATATAAATACAAAATCGTCCTATTCGAACCATCTTAAACAGGCATGCTTTTACTCCTTATAATAGATTGTTGTTTTGTATATGGAGGCTACAGTAGTTTCTGGGCTTCTCATGCATGGCCTGCAAATTTTGGACACACCTTTGTGGTTCACATGCCTTCCACTGTATATATATGGTCCAAAAGAAAAATTTGCTGATTGAAGTAGAAAGTTAGAATAGGATTGAGATAATTCGATAAATGATAATGTGTCCTTCAACGAGACTGGATACAAATATTTATAGCATTGTTGACTATTCTAGGTAAGAGACAAAAGAAATAAATGTCACGCTAGAATCTTAAAACTTAATATCGAGCGAGAATCTTGAGCATTAAATGCATAATAAAATTAACATTCGACATAACGTTACCTGTTTTGAATCAACTAAATATTGCTCGATCCATTCTTAGGAAATTTATTGTCAATTTCTATTAAAAATCAAACTTCGAAATTAACAATGTGTTGCTTGAGACAATTAGCGACCTAACTTCCCTTAAGGAGATGATACAAATTCAATGTTTAAGATTTACTATTCGATTCTTCGAATTCACATTTTGCTATAAATACTAAAAACCTTTACACTTTGCTATAAAGACAAAAAAACTTTTATGCTCAACGGTGAATCAATCTACTTGTACAAAATCAATTGATTTGTGCTCAGTTTACCACCCATTTAGCTATAGATCATTTAACTTAACATTACAATAGACATTAGCTTAAGCTTAAGCTAAAAAGAATATTAATTATTCAGTAATTGAATATCTAATATCAAAATTCAATTTTTACTAGCCGAAGTTCTGCAAAAGTAGATCTAAGAGTTGCAACTCTCATTTGATTTATGAAGTACTAGATGGACAGCTAGCAGGACAAGAAACTAAATGTGAAAGACCGAAGAAGGATACACATATAGTCATATAGTCCCTACTCACTAGTATTTCAACTGTGAGAAGCAACACCTGAATTTCTTGTGGCCTTTCTCCATCACCAACCACCGGCAGTGTAATTAATACTGTCTTCTTCAATATATGTTAAAAAAGCACAATTATTGATTAAAAAAAAAAAAAACCCACCACCCTTATATATCTTACAAAAACTTAGGATTCATCATTACCCAATTAATGTTTCTCAATCATTCGTATGAGTGACGTACCAAAACAAGTTTCAGATATTTTACCCAAGGTAAGAACAAGTCCATTCGGCCCAGATATAACAGGCTATAGAACTAAAAATCCTCCAGAAAAGCCCATGTAATAAGAAGCCCATAACCGAGCATAAAACCCAACTGCCTATTTGAACCCATAAATGTATTCGGCTAGAACACACAAGCCCAAGTCCATGTAGTTTCGGAAATGGGCTTGGATTTGTGTTCACAAGTTTCTTTCCTGATATTTGAGCTTTTTCCTGGGTAATATAATATTAGAGGCGAGTATTTGGTTTGAATCGATTTTATGATGACTGCATCTGAACCGAAGAGCATGAAAAATTAGTTTGGTACAGATAGGTTTTGGTTTGGTTTAGTTATTTCGTATTGAATCACATATTTTAGGCTAAATGTGAATTCGGTTAGTTATAAAAGTGACTGAACTGAAAATCGAAAACCGTTCAATTATTGCTATTCTAACCAAATGGTAACTGAACTCTTAAAATAATGACAGAATGATTCATTTCGGATCAAATACTGCTCATCCATAGGCAATATCATATCATAACGATTTGTATTTGTGTACACTAATTATCACCGAAATCAATCAAATCAAAACTTCCAACTTTAAAATTGAAATGGAAGCAAATCTAAAAGCCTAATCTAATCTCTGTCAATAATGATAATACTAAAATAGGAAATTTGCTCCAATTGGTCCACCACACAAGGACCAAAAAATTGACTTTAATATTTCTTCAGAAGGAAATCTTGCGAGTGAAAGTGAAAGTGAAAGCTGCCCACTACTTCTGGTTCTGCTACTTCCAGTACCAAAAAAAAAAAAATCAGTCCTTTGATTGAAGATCTTCGATGGGTAGACCCTAAAGGAGCATTTGATTAAGACAGCCATTTTATAAGCAGTGGGGAATTTGAAGTGAAAAACATCATATGACGCTGCATTTTCTAATTGCGTGAAGGCTTGTCCGTCCCTTTCAACAAATATTATAAGATTGTCCCTTTACCATATATTGTTGTGCACTTTGGTTAGAGCATGCATATCCAGTTATCCTCTCACCGCCAAAATTTTTATAACCATTCACAATATTGGTAATTCTCAATACCCAGTTGCTATTTCTCTGCAGAAAATAACTATTTCTCTTTTATTGATATTATTTGGCACGTGTTGGATCCACAAAATTATTAATCTCTTCCTTATAAAATAAAAAAAAAGATAAATTTCTAATTTTGAATAATTATTTTTGACCAAAATCAAAATGACTGACACGAATTGTTTTTTTTTTTTCCTGTTTAGATAAACTTTGAGGTATTCATTTTACTTGAAAGAGGGTATTGGGTTCTGTGCAATGGCCCATTGGAAGAAGAACAGTAGGTCAAAGGTCAAAGAGAATTAGCATCTTTCATCTTTGATTTATAGTTTTATTAGTTTGGCTGTTTGTTGTTTAAGTTGTAAGACAGCTTATGACAGTTTTTCTGAATAATATATAAAAACACACGCAAATATTAAAATGCAACCTTCCTCAAATTTCAATATTTAATTCCATCCTTCTCCTTTTGGCTCTCAAATTTTGTTTAACAGTTCAAAAATATAAAATTTTATTTTTTATAAAAAGTCAATATTCCATTATTTTAAGTATGACTATGCAGAGAGTGTCCAAGTCCAACCCAGAAGTGGTTGCATGCCAGCAGTTTTTTATTTTTTCTTTTCTTGTTTTTTAGTAATTCCTTTTCTTATACAATAGTGGAAATTTGCATTTGAAGCAAGAAATAAATTGTGCATGTTCTCTTTAATCCCTTATTGAAATTTGCTACTTACAATGAAATCATCACATTAATCTAATTATACATATATATTTTTTATTAATTAAAAAATTTAATGAATCGAAATAATACGATAATTTACAGAAATATATAAAAAAATGTGTAAACTGTAACTATTACTACTATACTTAAAAAAAAAAAAAAAAGGCTAGAAAGACAAAAATTGAGAAAAATGTCGTATTTTCTTTTTTCACATGGGTTGATGCATTATGACTCCCACAAAGCTCACAACGGCTACCAATCATTAAATCCCCATTCAATGAGTAATAATTCAAATGTTAATATTGAGAATAATTAGTTATTAAGAAGAGACATTTTAAATTGTAATTTCTCTTTAAATGTTTCACTGATCAAATAAATAACGGAATTTACAAAAGTGATTACAATTTACTATTACTTAATCACTTCCTGCTTTTACTCTTCCTCCTTCATTGTGTCTCAGCTCTCAAATATTTTTTCTTTGCCTCCGCTCCCAGTCGAACCCGGGACGACTCGGTGGGTAACTCAGCCACCTCTTTCTGCCATCTCCAAGCATTCTCCGGAGTTGTATTTTACACTGCCTCGCCGCAGTGGCTCACAACCCAATTAAACCAATAATAACTGGAAAACGACCCAAAAGAAAAAAAAGAAAAAGGAAGAAATGTTTCCCCCTAAATTTACCCATCAACTCACCTATTTGTACATGGTAAGTGAAAAATCAGACCCCGTGAATCAGGGCAAATCAGCCGAGTCGAACTTTGAGTCGAACTCGGAACTGTACTTGTATATTAATTTAATGTTGGAATTGATAAAGTTTCCTTCAGAGAGCTTTCCTAACTCGGACTGAGTCGATCCCGGGTCAGAATCAGAGCGTACCATCATTTTTGTCTCCTTATTAATTTTTAAACAATACCAACCAAATCCTAGTCCGTATTTCTCCTTACCAAATGGTTTTATCAGCAAACCCATGAAGTAACGGTCGAGATTCCGTCCACAAATCAAGCGTGCTCCTAACTCCGACATGACAATACCTTTGAAAATCTTCAAGATTCGAGAACCGGATGGAATTACCCGACTCCGATCGCGAAATGTACCTAAGCACTTCCTCAAATACCGTTTCGTCACATGGAATCGCTAGAGGACCTTGGTTGCTGAAGCCGTACTCTTCCTCTGCTTGCACTAATAGTTTCTTGAAAACGGGATGGTTCAAGTAAGTCGCCCGCACCACAAATCTCCTGCCAGTGGTGCCGACACAGACAGCCACGTGTCCAGCAGGAACATCAGACGGTATACGGTTGGCAGACATGCGAGCCTTGTTTCGCCACCGCCGCAGCATTTGACGAAGCCTCACAATATGACGGATTTTGCTGCATTTTCCAAAGCCAGCTGACATTTTCTCGGAAATTAGAGTCCAAAGGGAAAACTAGAGAAAATAAAAGAAACGCTCTTCAAAAGTGCTGATTGTTTAGCTTTTGTTCCCTTCGTTTTGGGAAGGGTCAGAGAAAACTTTGGGGGGTTTGAGAAAAGGAGAGGGAGGAGGAATTTATAGAGATTGCGGGGACAAGAAAGCCCTTGGTGTTTGAAATAATTACAAGCAAGTGTCTGCTGTTGTTGAAGCACTTGAAAGGCTTGTATTTTTGGCATTTTATGGTATTTTTTTTACGTATTTATGTCTGTATGATGGTAATGAAACAACAGAACATATGATATGTGGATAAAAAAAACTAACAACTAAATCTAATATTTATTGTGGGTTTAGAGATTATTGCAATTTTAAAACCCAGATTTTGCTTTCAAATACATTGCACGGAGCTAATGATTTCGAAACTCTTGTCATGTGAGAATGTGAGGCTGTGAATAAAATCTTCAAGTGATGAAATGAAATCATCTTGTTCTAATATTCTATTATGCAATGAATCAATTTTATTGTGTTTTTTTTTTTCCCTTTTAAATGATAATTACCTTGTACATAAACAAAATGAGTGTGTTTTTGGCAGTTTTGGTAAGGTAGTACTCAAGTTTAATTGTATTTGCTTTTAATTAATTGCTAAAAATGTTAAATTTCTGCATATGCATTACTTGTTATAGCTAAATCCCAGTTAATGCCTTTGGATCCAACGTGTCCAGCTACTGTGGAATTCTTCATTAGTGTCTCGTCCTGTCATTATTTTTTTTATTAATATGCCAGGAAAAATATGAATTTTGTTTTGACATTAATCAGGTAAAAATGCTCCATATGTAGATACTTGTTATAATGTGTAGATGCACAATAACAACCGTGTGAAATGTAACTATCCTTGTTTTTTTTTTTTTTTAAAGTTAAAATGAGAAACTTTATTACGAAATCAAGAAATCAAGTAGAGCAGGAGGTGGTACAGAATTCCAATCTCCATGCCTGCTTCGGAATGAATTCCAATCTCCAAGCCTGCTTCGGAATGTGTTCCAATTTGATGGCTGTGAATAAAATCTTCAAGTGATAAATGAAATCGATGTCTTTCTGAGATATTCTATATGCAATGAATGCAATTTTTATGTGTGTGTTTTTGTTTTCCCTTTTAAAGTTGGATAAGTTACCTTTACATAGAACGAGAAATGAGTGTTTGTTTTTGGCAGTGTTTGGTAAGGGTAGTACTCAAGGTATTGAATTTATTTGCGTTTTAGATTAAATTGCTAAGAAAGTGTGTAAAGTTTCGTTCGATACGCATTATTGTGTATAAGGCTAAAGTCCCGAGTTAAGGCCTTGGACCAACGTGTCCAGCTAGCTGGTGAAAATTCGTTCAGTAGTGTCTGCAGTGCCTGTCGATTATTTTTTATTAATATGCCAGAAAAATATGAATTTTGTGTTGGCCATTAATCAGTAAAAATGCTCGCATATGTAGATATCTTGTTATAGATGTGAGGATGCGACGAAGTGAACAGACCCGTGGTGAAGAAAGATGTAACTATCCTTGGTTTGTTTTGTGTGTTTAAAGTTAAATGAGGAAACTGTTATGTACGAAATGCAGAGAAGATCAAGTACGAGCAGGAGGGTGGGGTACAGAATCTCGCAATCTCGCATGCCTTGCTTCGGAATGAATTTCCAAACTCCAAGCGCTGCTGTTCGGAATGTGGTGTTCCAATTGCTAAACGTTATGTGCACTACATCCGCAGGGACCTTATAAAGTAAGGAAAAGTTTACATTGCGACTTATTTCAGGAATAAAGATAAATAAAATTACATTTTGCGACTGGTATTTCAGATAAAAGAGATTTGCAGTCCTGAATTATCAAATCAAAAGCAGACGAGTCATTCGTATTATCATTATTGATGGCATTTGCAACTGACTGAGAATCGGTTTCCAACAAAATTACTATCCTTGTTACTATTGATGTTTTTTTTTCGGTGTTATTAAACCTGGCCAGGATATTCACCCGACTAAAGAATTTGGTGGATGGATCATTAATTTAATTATATAATTATAATTCAATAAAAAATAATTATAAATATAAAAGTTAGTCTAGATCAATCGAGTTTGTGCAGATTGAGCAATTCAATTACGAATGAGCTAGCTAGTTAAATTTGGTTCTTTTCTTTAAATAGTTAAAAATAAAATTAGTTAAAAATAAAATTAGTTTGGTTTTTCCCAGTTAATCTTCCAAAACTAGCATTGGAGGTATTTATAAGCCGAAATAATACTGTGGGCTACACAACAAAGGTAGTCTTTCCTTTGATTCATAAAATTGGTGAAAATAACTGTGATCAACAGAACTCGAATTCGAAACTTCACACTCCTCATTTAAATGAAAAGACCAATTAGATCACCACGGATTGACGAAGCTAGCAGGGTTTAATAACTATTTTTTTTATTAAAATATTCTCATTTGTACGAATTTTTTTTATGAAAATATGTTTTGGTCAAAACACATTTATTTTCCGGTGTCAATATAAAGCTTTTTTGTTTTTTTTTGTTTTTTCAAAGGCATGTGAAATAGTGCTGGCTGAGTGAAGATTAATTCAATTAGTTTAAAACACTAAACCATGGGTGCATCCGCCTCTCGAATCATGGTGCGGTAACAACTGCTTTGTTTAATTTATCTATAAGGTTTCCTTTCTTTCTTTCTTTTTTCTTTTTTTTTTTTTTTTTTTAAATATTATCGTAAGGTTTCCTTTTCTTCTTTCTTTTTTCTTTTTTTTTTTTTTTTTTAATTTTTCAGTCGGTGTGAAGAAGTGAATTTAAGAGTTAAGAAAAAAGAAAGAATCGCGAGAGAGAATGTTGTCGTCCAAGGAGGAAGGAGGCATTTGTGACCCGATGGAAGCTAGGAAATTAAGGGCTGAAAAGGAAGATTCGTGCGGAACGTGGCCCTTGGTAAGACGCAGCGAAGTGGAAGGTATGAAACTGGAAAGACCCACAGCATGGCAAGGAACGTTTTGACGTGCTTGACAGGTTTCACATTCACTCCATTTTGTTAGATAAGATGCTTTTTCCTTTCTTTTTTTTTTTTTTTTTTTTTTTTTTTAATTTTTCATCCGTTGAAAAGTAATTTAATTAAAAAAAAAAAATCCAAAAATTTCGTCAAGAGAGACCATTTGACCCAAAGCTAATTAAGGCTGAAAAGGAAGAGTTCGTGCGGAACTGCCTTTAAACGCACGAAGTGGAAGTATGAAACTGGAAACCCACCACATGCAAACTTTTGGGACCTCTTACAGGTGTTTCACTTTCACTCCATTTTTTTAATTAAGATGCTTTTTCCTTTCTTTCTTTCTTTCTTTTTTTTTTTTTTTTCTTTTTAAATATTAATAGAGTTAATATTTATTTATTTTGTATTCTCCATTTTCAGAGCATCAGCCATGTGCAACGATACCCCATCTTCTCTTTAATTTATTATGATTTCAAAACTAGCTGCCAAAATACCCTCTCCTAATCCCTGTACTGCCCATCTTCCCCAATCAAATTTCACTTCCTCTTTTCTTCTTTTTAATATCATCCTTTCTGCCACTTTTAATAACTCACCACTCACCACCCAAATCAATCATTTTCATTATTGTTCATCTATCCTATCCCTCATAGATTTCTTTATTTTCTCTGTATTTTTTGAAAAAAATTTCATGTACAAGCCCTCTACTTCTAATTATTTATTTCTTTTACTTCTTCTTGCTATTCTCAATATCAATCAACCAAAGAAGAAAAGCAATTCTTGAATGATCAAGATGGGCCAGTGAGGATTCATGGGTCCACGTACATGTTACAACCAGGGTTTGGTTCATCCCCCCCAACAAATGTCAGATTACCACCCTAAATACCCCACTTGTTTGGATTTAAGGATCAAACCATTTTATTTCCATTAAACCCAAATACGTATCTCCAACACAAAATCATTATTAACAACAAGAAAATAAAATTAGTATTAGTAGGAATTCATGCTAAGACATTTTTATTTTGCTTCTCTTGTTTTCTTCTTCATTTTAAATTTTATTTCTTTGTTTCCTTCTCCGGACAAAAATGTGGGAAGATTTGAAGAATATTTGCAGGATTTAGGGAAGGGTGATTTCGAAATTAAAACAGAAAGCTAAGGTCAGTTCTGAGTAAATAATTAATTTTTCCCTTAACGACAGGTGCGTCTATTCTATTGGTACTCGATATCGTAAAAATTTCGATTCTCAAAGGGCTCAGTGGCATAAGGCGGGGAACGGGAGTCGACGTGGCGCTGACATGTAATAAAAGTTTCCGGTCAACACAATGGTCGAGGAATATCGTTAGCCCACGTCATTGTCAGAAGCTGACATGGCACCGTCCATCTGAATTGGGACCCACCACATCTAATAAAATATAGAATAGATAAAAAAAAAGAAAAAATATGAATGCAAAAATGTCAATTGGGAGTGATACTTTTGGAAAAGGGCGTCTAGGTTCGTAGCCGCTTAGTTGTACTCAGCAGCGTCACGGGTCTTACGGACCCACGGTTACTCGTCTCCTTCTCGTACGGGCAGTTACTCTTTTCTTTCTTTTTTAATAATTAATAATAATTATTTAAAATCAAAAGTGAAAGATTAAATCTTTTTTTTTGTCTACGTCACTCCCGCACATTACCTCCGGCGCTAGCTTTTTAGATGTTGTGGAAAATATTACAATATTAAGGTAAGACGTAATTATGTTTATCTAAAGCGTGGTCTGATTATTTTTTTTATATTTTATAAAATATCTGAAAAATGAGAGATTTTAAAGTCGTTAAAGGGAGTAATATTTTATCTAAATATAGAGATATTTGTGCAAATTAAAAAAAAAATGCACGATGATAAAATAGTTTTAAAAATCAACAAGTTGAATTATTGATTTACCCAAATATTACTATGATGTTGGGCACATTTGATAATTTTGGAAAGAAAAAATTTTAATTTGTGGAAGGGTTAAAATTAATTATTAATATAATTAAAGTTATATTAAGCATGGAATAAATATATTGAAGGAAGGTGGAAAGAGGACGTGTGGTAGCCATAATTTAGTTACAACAGAAAACTTTTGTTGGCAGTTTGTAATACTATTTGT